AGACTGTGAGTTGGACTGTAGGTCGTCCTTCAATGCAGAATTAGTACACAATCCCACGACAGTGGCAGGGAATGGAGGATCAATGCCCCAGAGCGCAGAACCGCAACAGCAACAAGTCGAGGCTGCGTGGAGCTTGCTTTGCCGCTATAAGAGGACCGCGTTAGTTGCTTGCCGCTGCTTCTTCTGAACCACAATGAACTGCTGTAGGCTCACCGTTGCGGTGTGCTTTGGTGCTCTTGGCTGGGCCTCCGTACATCCCACCTTTGTTTTGCGTGTCCCACGGAGAAGCGGCGCGATCTACGTTATCGTTTTGGAAGCATTGGCCTCATTGGCGCTACCGTGCGGTATCGTACAAAACACAAACCGACGGTCAACCACGAGGGGTTGATGCCTATCGCATGCGACAGGGTGATTTCGCGTATGCACATTAGCACCGATGGCGTGTCCCCTCGGCCGCGAGGCCTGTCCAACATTGTGGGGTGGTGCGTTCGGGGGCGGGCGGCAAATTCTATTGGCGTATCTGGTTGTGGCAACGGCGACGAACCAGTAAAAGAATTTGGTGTATTTCTGCCTTGGTGCAGTCCAATTCAAAGGCCGTAGCGAAGGAACCAGCTCTAGTCCGGTTCGCATTTTGTTTTTTTGCAAAACTTCCTTTTTTGACTACCGTTTTGGTGTGGTCTCTAGTTGCTCCTGGATAAGCGTAAGTGGAGAGTTCTTGACAGCAGCAGTGCCGGTGGAATCGTGTCACTACCCGGCAGAGTGCCGATGGTATTGCGTGGCACAAGTGAATTTCGTTCCGGCAAGACTCATGATTACGTTTTCTTCTGCCCCCTAGTTGTTCTTTGATACTGTGAATCGTGCTGGTTCGGCTATCGTGTTGATGTTCTTGTCGGGCACATACCCCCGGAAGAGGAGCTGGAGGTGAAAGAGGGAAGTGTTGACAGTCCTCACTGTATGCCTCGATGTGCTCTGGTGATAGTGTTCCTGTTTCGCAAGCGGCTACCTGCTGGTCCGTGCGTAGGTTTCGCCCCAAAAAAATTAGCGGAGGGTGGGGGTCGACAGCGAAATATGTTGATGTGGAGTTTTGATGGTTGTGTGGGCGTGAGTTTGCTTGTCCCATCTTCTCCGGCGCCAGTCTAGCTACGCACCTTTCGGCGAACCTTTCTCACTGATCAGCCGGGGTCACGATGGTGCTTACGAGAAAGGGACGAGACAAAGTCTGTGCGGTAGCAGAGGGAGCCGGTGAAAAGAAAGCAAGTTGTAGATTATTGATTCTTTGTCGACGACACGATGGGTAAATATTTATCGACAAACGCTCCCAGATACTGCAGGGCCGTCGGTGCAACCATATTACCACAGAGTGTTGGTTTCACTGCTGTCCTGGGACGCCTTGCATTCATTTCGTTGGTCATCGTCTCCTTCAAGGTTCTTGTGCTGAAGTCCTGTCTCCGACATGATGGCTGTTTCCACACCGACCAAAATACCCGGCGGTGGTACGGGCACTAGCTGTTCGTTGTGTGGCTTTGTGGGATTGCGTTAGCGGCCTCGCTGCCGGCGTGAATTCAACTGGCCTATTGCCGGAGTCGTGTGATCGGCCTCCCTGCCGCAGCTATCGCTCGGGGAAGACTTCAAGAAAGCTGTCGACGGCGTTGTGTGGCCAGCTCCACTGTGCGGGGCTCATTTCACCCAGCTAATCACCGGCATCGTGTGGCCGGCCTCCCTACGGAGTCTGACGCGGCTTGGAGTGAGCCTGCTCTGAAGGCGTCTGTACTCTGCAACAGATGCTGCCAGCGCGCTTCTTCCCACTTCAAGTTGTCTAGGGGATTTTGCTGCAGTCGCACTTTCGCTTGGTAGACAGGGCTGCGAAGGTAATTATAAGGAGATACACCGTACGTACAGGTCCTTGCAAGGAGCGACTGGTTGTAGTCATTGACCTTGGCACGGCCGTTCAGATCAACATAGGTGGCGAGGGGTGGAACCATCGCGAACACCATGTGTTCGTGCTGTCAATTTTGATTCGCCTTGTCCCACCCCCTCTGCCTGGTTGACAATACACAAGAAAGAATGATCCCTTCTGTTCCAGCTTGGGACCGGGTGTCTTCCACTTTCTCTGCGCCTCAAACCGCAGGTCTAGGGTGTGCCTGTGCGCGAAGAAGCACATCCTTTAGAGCCGTAATACGACGCACGCGAATATACCTTTGTTGTGAAACCCGAAAACAAAAACGGCACACATGTAGCCAATGGACAATCAAATACAACCAGCGGACGGCGAACAAATCCATCAGGATCAACACACACACACCTTGCCTGTTGCCACGACCCAGCCCGGTCACAGATCTGCCCAAACCCTTTTGTTCGGAGGCGTCAATGATAAAACGCCTTGTGAGCTGTAGTGGCCATCACGCTGAGCTCAACCTTCATTGCACAAATTCGGAGTTGGCTACATAGTCTCCGACCACATCTTCCTGTCTCATCTCAGAGAAACCCTCGGGAACTTGGGGTTGTGCGGCCGACTCAATGCCTTTGTTGGCTACGTCTAGTCTACTCTTCGAGTGGTTTGGGTCAATTTCGGATGTTTCATGACCTGGTCCACCTCGACGTCCATTCATTCCAGATTGTTTCTCCTATCACTCTTGTGTGATAGGAGTTGAGGCCTGCATCGACCGGGTGCCGCCTTCGAGGTTTAATCGTGTTGCATGCCAGGATATCAATAATACCAAGTACTTCAGTACAAGTCTCGCCCTAAATGATATTTTCATGCAGTTCTTCCTCTACAATACAAAGCGAGATGCTGCCAGCCCACACGTCGAATAATATTTCCAATATGTTTTAAACGGAAAGAGTGAAAACACTACAGCATTTGGTAATGGAAAACTCCTTGCCCCCGTGCTTCGGCTCGTTCAAGGTTCAATTTCCGTTGCCAAACATGGATATTGACCAGATGTTCTCTTTACCCAATCCCCTGCGCGTTCGCTGTCAGCCTTGAAATAACCAACCAGTCCTAAATCGACCCCAATCAACGCTAGATCGATCCTGTTTAGTAGTAGTCGGTCTCTTTCGACCAAGGGTCGTCATCTTCGCCCCCTCGGTCGTCTCCCAACCCCCCGCTCTCAACGCTACCCCGCCTGTGACGGCTTCCTCTGCCTCCACCGTCGCCGTCTTCCTCGTCGTACTTGCCCCCGGCCTGACGCAACATCATCAAGATGGTTTTGGTTATAGGACGATACAAAAAATCGTATTCTGGCCCTTTACTGTCATAATGCCCAAGTTCTGGGTACTTTGAGCATTCGTTTCACAATTGTAGCCGCCAAATCTCAAGTGGCGGCTGAGTCAACAACAGCCCCACCGGTGTAGCTTTGTCAAACGGAATGTATTTCAAGCGCGATCAGACTGGTGTGTGTGTGAAACGAGTTCGGCTTCGCTCTGGGCCAGTGCCTAGACGTCTCGCTTGTTCTGGATATCTCTCAGCGACGTTGTTCGTGTTTATGGTGTCCAATTAACCTCCCGCAGTAATCAGCCCGCAGAAGAAGTGGTGTCGTTTCGAGCTTTTGGGCGATCCGCCCAACGAAAGACTCCGCCAGCCGTTCGGTCTCTACGAACATACGTGTCTGCGTCATCGAAGGCTCAGTAGACTCTCCTAACTCGACAGGATCAAGATTCACACCCACAATATTCGCACTTTCTGGTGTCTTGGCCTTTTCTTCGTAAATTGAACGTGATTTCCGTTAATATCATTGTCTTGCACGGAATTCGCTCCGCAAGGCGAGACCAGATCCCCCCTCCAGGTGAGCACGTCCACGACTCACCTTTTGCTCGCCGCCGTTGTTGTTGTGGTTTCGGTCCCCTCCCTCTTCGCTTCCATCGCCACTGCAACCCCCTTCCTCTTCATCTTCAGGACATCAGCAGCAACAGGAATGAGTAGAATAGGGATTTGTCGACGCAATCAATTGGGTTCGCAGAGAGCCCACGTTTCACTCGTTTCAAAGTAATAAACACTTGTGGATAGGAAAACAGTGAGCAGCATCACAGTCATCCCCAGCTACAACGACAAGTACATTAATCGACGATAGCAACAACAACCATAACAAACTCAGCAATCCCATCACATGGTGCACGAAGCATACGCCAAGTGATCGGACGAAAACGAAGTCAGGCTTAACACTCAAAACAACAGGCCGGAACAACGATGTAAGGGGTGAAAATCTGCCGCTGCTTCGGGAGCCCTCCAGGTGTGATGCAATATTGAATCACCTAGCATCTGCGCAGTTCTACGTTGACTGCAGTAAACAGGCCCACAACCGGTGGTACGATACTACGAAAAAGAGCGCACCGAATACTACGCATTCTGTCTCGAAGAACCTGGGAGGCGATATTTATCGACATCCACACTCACCAGAATCGTATTTTGACGCCTGTTTCTTTGTCCCCTTGACCCCTGCATACCGGTCCTGTCCAAAGAGCATGCCAGGTAGGACCGCCGCGGTTGTTCGCAAGAACTTGGTGTTACGAGATAGGCACCTATTTCTTGACTCTGATGCTACCACACACTAAGTTATATTGCTTGGTGCAGCTCGTGATCATCTAAGTACGTCGTGCCTTTACGTTCTCCCCAAGAACGACCGGCTTACGACCACGAACACCAGGCATCGATCGGGCCTCTAGTCAATCTTGACGATAACCCCCATCGAAACGAACCGTGAAGCAAACATGCCTGGGGTATTGGATACGGTGGTGGTATATGTTGACACAGCTCAAGCGTGGCAATGAGCCCGTCACTTGTCTATCTAGTCTGCGAGCGTACTGGACCCCTGGAGCCGAGAACGGCTGCTCGTACTCCGGCTTGCTCATACCACCAAAGCATAAACTCCATTCAAGCGAACGCCCACATCCCTCTGAGCTTCGAATGCGCGCGCTGAACCTTGTCCGCGCACGCTACATTAGGTTGCCGTAAACTCTCCTTGGACGAACTGCTTAATAGCAAAGGAGGTATGGTGAGCTTTTTACGAGATGCGTTGTTCATGTACAGCAGCATCTCGCTGGGCTAGCGCAGGAGGCAGGGGGCTGTCGTTGGAGCAACAGGAGAAGCTCACCTCATAGCTCTTTTTAGCCTGGGCGGTGTCCTCAGGGACGTACTTGTAGCTGGCCTTGTTGTGCATGATGAGCTCGTCATCCACAAAGTAAAAGCTGTCCGACTTGGTCTCAAACGGGTTTGCTATCATTTCCTCGACTTTGTTGTGTTGATGTATTTTATCATTGTGTGGGCGAAAACATGACGGTGGCAGGGTTACGAACGAGGATGTTAGCAGGTAGGGAACATCGAACAGGAAACCGCCACAATGACTTCTTGTCCTAGATGCTAAGAACTCTCAAACAGCAAACATGTCTCAGTCAGAATTTGGTTGACGCGTGGATGTGCTAGACGATGGTTCCCCACAGCAGTGTCCCGACTGAAAGTGACCATTTTCAGGGGAGGGACATATGACATAGAAAAAGAGCAACACGACATGCAACCTTAACCTTCCCGCCCAAGCTGGGATCGGTTGGGCAATACTCCGGAATACGGCTCAAGGCAGATATTTTCGCAAGGTTCCATCCAAGAATGAACATTTTGAAAGCAATACCGCTCTCCCTAACATCCTCAAAATCCTCATGAAGCGGGGAAATCGGCAACAAATCTGGACGCTATGGAGACACCGGACAGCAGCGGCAACAACAACAACGACAGCAACAACAACTACGACGACGACAGGAACAATGATGCACTCACTTAGGTCCTCGTCAAGCGGAGGAACCTGGTAGACCGCGTCCCAAGTGTTGGTGCTCGCAGGGATGCAAAAGCCGAACCCAAAATCATAGCTCTTGATCAACTAGTTGTTTGGTTCAGAATACGAGTAACGTGCAAGGGCAGGAAGCAAGACCAGTGTTAGAACGTAGGTGATATGGAAAAGACGTACGCAAGGAAACCGTATGCCTTCGCAGACAGCAGGCATACCCAGGTTTGTTTCCGTTGCTCCGTTCATTCGTCAATAATGGTGGCTCGTCTACGCATTCTAGCCGTTTGACGCACGAGTCGACCACAAACAGCATAACGCACAAGAAAAACCAACAGGGCTACTTTCTCTGCATAGTATGAAAGGTCGCACAGCACCTTCTCCGTCTCTCCGACATTTGATTTACAGAGCACTCGTGATGGGTCACCGCCATGATCGAACGGTGCTATCTAAACGTTGGATTGCGAAGAGCTCGGGGATCTATCCCGGCATGACATTGCTGATGAGAAACTGCTTGTTGTGAGCACCCACACTCGACTGAATAGTTGACGAGGAAAGCAGGGTTGCTTGACACTTTTCGTGAAAATTCGCAGAGAAACTACAGTATACGCTGATGCTGTGACCTAGATCGTAGCTATACCGCAGAGAAAGCAAGACCATACGGTCGGAACATGCTATACGCGTTTCAATAGACTAGGTGACGAGTGGTGTAGTTGGTAGGCGCGCAACCGTCTGGCGCTTGAGCGTGCGTTCGAACCACGGCCACGGCTAAGTCACACGAGCTGGGATTGTTCCCGCGCTGTGTCCAACCAATTTTTAGGGCGTACATTTTCGTGAGCACACAATAACGTTCGGTTTCAACGTTGGCGAGGGAATGAAAAGACAGTTTGTTTCTCGCGAGTACTACAGAGGTTTGCAACGCACGAGTGCAAAAAAAACAATGAAACCTCCTGTTTGATCTTCCTCATGTGTGACCCCGGCTGGGATGTAAAAGAACAAACCGGACAGGGGTAAAAATCGACTTCCAGAAGAAATGGCGTGGCGCACATTCATACGCCACATGAAACGTTGCCCAAACGACAGGTTAGAAATCATGCTTGTTGAGGCCGAAACAATGCAAAATATCACCCGCTTTCGTAGTCTATTTTGTTTTTGTTCGCCCGGTCTCTCGGACCCATGGATTCACGATTACGCGCCTCCACACCTTCGCTGCGTTTTGCTACGCTTTGCTACGCTTTGCTACGCTTTGCTACGCTTTGCTACGCTTTGCTACGCTTTGATACGCTTTGCTACGCTTTGCTACGCCTCGCACAAAGACTTACGATTTCCTTTGAGGACGTTCCCTCCTTACCTGGTCTCGAAAGTAGTGTCTCTCCACCATTCTAAAGTTTGGCACCTCCTGCTCCCCCACGGAAAACACCAGTGACGTCTGCCCATCCCGACCAACAAATAATCAAGAACAGCAAGGTCATGTACGAAGCGATTGTAAGGCTTTGGAAACCGTGATTCCAGATCCAATTTCTCTTGACATGTACAGGGGTTTCACTGATGGTGCGGGCCGATGAATCACGTGGAATACGCGATACAGCAGGAAGTTCAGCATGATATTTACCTTTCAGCACAGACACGAGAGGTAGAGCGCTTCAATGCAACCTACACCGGGCGTTTGGCAATCGGTGGCCCGTCAAAGCGAATTTCCCCGAACACTCGAATGTATGGCGGGTGTAGTACAAAGACAGCTCTATAAAACAGCTCTGGACGGCTCAAAACCCCCTGGTCTCCCCCCGGAAATCTGGTGTTATGCCAGAGGAAGTGCGAAGAGATTCTCTGTCTAAGTCCGCACTCCTGATTTGTTGAATTGTCGAGAATGACAAGTGCTGTCTGGCGGAGGACTTCACGAGTTTCGTGTCGTGCTGGAGAACTCTGCGGCATTCGCCCACGTCGTTTTTCAAAGGTGAACATCAAAACGACATACATACGCGCAAGCTTGACCCTCGAAGGTAGTGGCAAGCCAGCCCGTGGTACACGTACTCGAGAAGTCAGTCAACCCAACGGGTCCCGACTGTTGAAAACCTACCTGTTATTCGCCAACAGCAGTGACCTTGAGACAAGCACGCGCGTTGCTACTCTACAACACGACAACATATAGAAAGACTGTTGAGTGCCACCCCAGTAGGACTCACCTGTATCGACGGCAACCGAAGAACATCTTCCGAAAACTCGTACTTGATGAGGCGGTACGCGTTCTCGTCCAGGCTGCCCAAGTCGAGGTCAAGATCAATCGGAGGCGGGTAGTCCCTCCCCACCTATTATATCATTTAGTACACAGCAGTTGTTGCTGCTGCTATTTCTCATGAAAGCTCGCGGAAAAAATGGGCTCGTGGTCAAACTCTACCCACGAAAAGAGCGCCCGAGAAACATATGTTTGCATTGACGTCAAGCGAAACTCATTGCACCGTAGCTTGTTTGGTGGTTGCATCAGACATGGCGTGTCCTTTGCCAAGAGTAAGGATCGTGATGTCCTAATGGTCTCATGGCGAGTACAGTGGCGATCATGGCGCTGGTCCGACATGTTTGCAGGTTGCACGGGTTTTCGTTTAGCGCTTCGTTTGAACACACCAATCGCGCGCGCAGCCAGCGAAAAGTGCCTCGATGAAACAAGGAGGGGCACATACGTGTAGTCGCTGACATTCAGAAGTGTAGGAGTCACGCAGAACACGGCCAAGATGTTCGAGAGCCTCATCTCTGTTCGAGCAAGCTTGGCGCTACCAGTGCGCTTACGCATTTCAGCACGATTCTCACCATGAAAATTATGTTCTTGGTATCATAGTCGCTGATGGTAAACTCGAGAAACTCGATCTGGTATTTGTTCGCGGAGAGCGCGCACAAAAAATCTGAAACCATCACGCGCGAAAGAGGCAAAGAAGGGTCATGTTGCATGCGAGCAGGTATCGATAAAGATTGAGTTAATCAGAGATGGAGCGACCACTAGTGGACAAGATTAACGCAGCCTTCAGTGTGACAATGAGTCCAGGCTACGCAGTACTCGCTTTCGTGTTTCCACAGCTGTTTGGGGTCTATGGCGTTCTTCGGTCCAATGAACACATCCTGATGATCTTTAATACTGTAGTTGAAGGGGCGTCATGGAATCAATCTGCCCGCAACGGCAGTGGCATCATGGAATAGACTATGTTCGGATCTCCGCTGCATGCACGAAATCAAATTTGTGACGAGGCAGAACATACTCAACTATCCTGTGACACTCCACATTAACGTCAGCGTTCCGCTGCATACACGAAATCGAAGTTGTGGTGAGGCAGAACATGCTCAACTCGTGTGACAGTTCATGGAAAGGGGTGGTTTCCTGCCAAATGTGCCCGCTGTTCCAAAGCCGCATTTATGGAGAGGTTGACGGACAAACCAGCGACGATGTTTGTGTGGTGTCAACGCACTGACAATTCAGGTAAATTATCATGATAAATGAGAGGCGTTGCCCACACGGTACAGTATGTGAGTTGACATCGCATATTTTCTTCCACAACGCACGTCGGCGATTTTGTCCGCGGATTTTGTTCGTCCACCTCTCCTTCCATTGTTCATAGACAATCTTTCAGAGAAGGCTCTACAAACGCCCGGGTTGATGCCATGACACCTATGCTGCAAGGAAATCAGCACATCCCCTGTCCCGCCCCCCATGTGTAGTCCTTGGTTGGTGCTACAATGCAAGCATGTGTGTGGGCGACTGTGCACCGTTGTTGAATGTGTGTCCCGGATACATGCGTGATGTGACGTGCCATGTCGTCCGATCCGATTTACTTGGCCGCCTTTGGGTACGTATGTATCCGCCTTGTTGGTTGCCATCAAATTCTACTAGTTAGGTACAACTATGAAGCGTCTGCATCTGCATCTGCAGGAGCGATGTTGTGGCGCTGCTTTCATGCTGAGCGGACAAGCACAGCAGTCAACTCTTTGACCGCTTAGACTCTTGAACAAACTATTATTAACGACTTCCACAGCAGCGTTTCTGAGACCATACTACTGTATGTGACGGTACGGGATTTGGTGGCGGTGCTTCGTATCCATCGCTCGACGAAGACACGGTCCCTTAAAGCTTGGAATTGCAGTAGGATCTTTAAAGCAGCCTCGTGTGATTGCATACGTACCTTTGCTTGGCTTGGTGAACTGTAAAACGTCAGCAGGGCAGACCCGAGGAAAAGATCTTGGCGATCTGGGAGACGAAGACATGATTTTTCGTGAAACCCAGCAGCTCTCACCACAGCAAGTGCGCACTATTAGCGTCAGGGCAGGTGTAGAGACTACTGCCTCGCTTCTGACCTTTCCACAAGGCGCGACAGCTGCCACTCATGGATATCACCGAGGAGCGAGGCGCCGTTGACGGTTTCGCAGACAATACGACGAGAGGCGGAAGGCATGCGTGTCGCATACGGTGTGGTCCGATTCTGCTGTGCCCCTACGTTTACCGTCGCGCGCGCTTGTGTTGCGCTCGCACACGCAAATCGTCTCACACACGCCCTCGCAACTCCATCTGCTCTCCGCTAAAACATGAGCTACTACAACAACGACGGTGGTGGTGGCGGATACGGAGGTGGTGGAGGATACGGGGGTGGTGGGGGCCGTGGTGGCGGCGGATACGGCGGTGGTGGATATGGAGGAGGAGGAGGAGGAGGAGGAGGAGGAAGGGGTGGCGGTGGCAACAAGCGCCCAGGGGATTGGTGAGAGCACGAAGCAAGCGTGAATGGGCACGTCGTGATGATTGGACAGGGAAGATTGCGCGAGATCTACCCTCACATGCATGGGTGGCTTTGTGTTGCTTTCTCCTGACTGCCGATCTGTATGGTTTTGCTTTCTTGTGCGCGCAATTTCACATCTCTTGTTCACGTCGATCGCCGTTCAGCACCGCACAACCTCTCAAGCAATTTTTCGAGGAGCTTATGGTGCCCTGGTCTCCCGTCGCACGAATAGTCCCCTCATGAGATTGAACGTAACTGGCACGATGAGCACGATCTCTCGTAATGTGGACACCGAATTCTGCTTTTACCTTTGCTGTTGCTCTCCTCCGCGCTGCTTCAAATGCCTGACAGGAGAGAGGGCGCGATAATCCAGCAACACACAACCTCCGATCAACCCTCCGATGAACAAAAAAAAACACTCCACGCCACTGCATAGTCCCTTTACCACCAAGCCGCTGTAGATGCGGGAGCGGTCAAATAACGAGATCCCCGTGCGGTCACTTCGCTGATTGTGTGCCCACGTCTCACGCACGAGCGGACTTGTGCTTCATTCAGTGGCAGAGCACCAATGCTGGTCGAACGGGAAAAGGAAGGCGAGACCACAGACTCTCTCTCTTTTCCCAACCGCGCGGACCCTTGCTGCCAAATGAACGTACATGGAACACCGGTGCAATTGCCGCTACTAACACTGCCATCCAGCGAGAGAGAGAGAGAAAGAGAGAGGGGGGAGGAGGTTGCTCCGAGCTCTCAAGACTTAACAACATGCGTGTGCATCATGTACACTCTGGTCTCCGTACACTCGTTCTATAGCACATACATTTGCACATCTGCACCAGGGCTGGTTGGTGTACATGGAATCTCGGCTTCGCCATCTTTGGTTGCATTTTTATCTCTACCCATTATGCGTAAGTAGATGCGCAGGATAAATTGGTGATGGATTCGCCGTGTTGCCATGACCCATGTGTGTTCTACCAGCTGGTTTCTACCATTCCGTTGTTTTCATCGCGCATAACTTTTGATTCAAGAGGGCTCCTGTATGTGCGCTCCTGGCTGATGCGCCCATACCGAAAGGTGCATGGTAGAAACTGACACGCAAACTTTAACTTATAGGCATACAGCAGTCGAAAGTCGGTTAAGATTTTCCATGACACAGGGACGTACCCCCCCCCCCCCCCC